TGTATGTGAAACACAGTATCAGCTTTAAGGAGAACAGTTCTTGTGGCAGATTTGATATAACAATTGGACCAAAGCAAAATATGGGGAAAACTATTGAAGGAATTACAGTGACAGTTCACATGCCAAAAGTTGTGCTGAATATGAACCTGACACCAACACAAGGCAGCTATACATTTGATCCAGTCACCAAGGTACAGCCACTTCAAATCAAGAGTGAGCAGTGTTTCTGCAATCTATTTTGTGATTGGGGATTATGGGGGATGTGTTTAATGTCTTATTTAAAAGAAAGTTCCTATAAAACCTGGAGATACTGCTGGGGTTGTTACTCAGTGGTAGAGTGCTTGCCTTTCTTATGGAAGGCACTAGGTTCAGTCCTCTGCACCACATAAAAATAAAATAAAGGTATTGTGTCTATCTATAACTAAAAAAATATATATTAAAAAAAACTGGAGATAATATTGTGCTGTACTTCTGCTGCTAACTGTGGAAAGAATCCTGCATCTGCCACTGAGTAAATGAACAGAAGAGTTCATCACTTCTGTGCACACTTTCACAGTGTACACTTACTCATCCATTGATAATGCAGAGTCTCACCCCACTATCTAATGAAAAAAAAAAGCTTTTTAAAGAGAGAATAACATTATGTGGATATAAGAAGATGGGGTTGTAGCTCAGTGGTAGAACACTTGCCTAGCATGTGTTCCTTAGCACTACATAAAAATAAATAAATAAAGGTATTGTATCCATCTACAACAAAAAATACATATATAAAGGAGGAAGATAAGGGCTGGGGTTGTGGCTCAGCAGTAGAGTGCTCGCCTAGCCATGTGCAAGGCGCTGGGTTCAATCCTCAGCACCACAAATAAATAAACAAACATATTAATTAATAAATAAAAGGTATCGTGTCCAACTACAACTTTTAAAAAATTTAAAAAGAGGAAGATAATATAGTTAGTAATTGTTAGATTTTTCTATAGAAATTGATCATTAAGACCTATTTCTGCTTTTCTAACTTAAAAGCATCATATATTATTCCATGGGGGATATTGGCTAAGAAAGCTGCTTCCTAATCTACTTACACATTCCTCTAGCGGAATTCCAAAAGATGACTTTCTGTCATCTTCCTATTTTGGTAGAAAATGATTGTTTTAAACAGCAGAGTCAATCAGCTGCCTGATAAATTAAAAGGCTTATTTTTTAATAAAGTCAAAGAATGTTAAAGATCATCTAACCCTGTATTCTAAGGATTCAGAGAACCTTCCCAGAAAAAATTTAAGACTGAGCAGGGAAGCTCCACATCCCTGGCTCTCCACCCTACAGCTTCAACTCTAAGAGCTTCATTTTCTCATCTGTTTTTGAGCTACCACAGAAACAGTTGCTTTTTAGCAAAGGATACTATGGCTACAAGTTTTAACACCAAGATAAGTCTTTTCATTTTATAGTAAAAGAAACTGGCCTAGAGAAAAGCCATGAAAGCAGTATAATGGAAAGAATACTTGAAATCAGATAGGCTTAAGTTCAAATACCTGTGTGACCTGTCTTTTAACCTTATCCTTGAGCATTTGTCTTTAATAAATGGTTGAGGGTTTGTTTTTTTGTCTTTTTGTTTTTTTTTTTCAATGTCCTTTTAAGGTGTTAACATGGGATGTGGGGAAAATCACTCCACAAAAGCTTCCAAGTCTTAAAGGACTGGTAAATTTACAGTCTGGAGCACCCAAGCCAGAAGAGAATCCTAGCCTCAACATACAGTTCAAGATCCAGCAGCTTGCTATTTCAGGTAAGAATAAGTTTTACTTGTGTTTAAGTGTAATTAAGTTTTGCTGAGCTCAGTTATTAGGTACTTAGAAAAGTAACAAACATTTCCCACTATAGAAAGAACAGAAATGTCAGTTTGCCTTTTACACAGTACTAGAGGGCCAGCCTCCAGGAATCAAGGACTTTGGAGAGCTCCTATTTCACACAGCATTCCTTCACCCCCCACCCTCACTTAAGCCCCAACAGAGTCATTCATATTCACAGAAGCAGAATTAGCCTTAAAAAAACATTCCCTCCTACATGGTTATCTTAACTAAATCCATACCTTCAAAGTATTCATGTATTGTAGAAGAGACATTGCTTCTAAATAGTGAAAGAGATATTTGTTAGTGTCAGATTTACAGTATAATACCTGTTGCTCAACAAATATTGTACTATATTATTGTTGGAATTATAACAATTTTTTGTTTCATTCTTTATGACACAGGCTTAAAAGTAAACCGCTTGGACATGTATGGGGAGAAGTATAAGCCATTTAAAGGAGTCAAATATGTCACGAAAGCTGGAAAGTTTCAAGTGAGGACATGAGAAGAGGCCAAAATTCCTCAACAAGATCAATTTGTTTTCAAGTGTCATTACAATTTACTATTAGGTACCAAATGGGCGGGAATACATATTCTAGTTAAAGCATTTGTGTTGAGCTATACACCACTAACAAAGTTATTTAGAAATTGATATAGGGTTCTTAAGGAGCTTTAAGCTAAGGAATCTTTTCTAATGACTTAGCTTATTTTGTATCTTTTCACTTAGGAAGATTATGGAGGTGATTTCTTCCATAGGTGGGTACCACCTGGATGCTGCACACTGTAACAGGAAAGGCAGAAGACTACATTGATAACCTCACTTGCTCTCCTAAAGCCAGTGAATTGGTCTTATTCAGCAGGAACTGTCTCAATCAGTGATGTGACATGTCAGGTGCAGCCAAATGTCACACCTCCTGATCTTAGCCATCCCAGTCCTATCTGTCCTAACAGAGGAAATTCCCCCCACCCAAGAAGTTTACAAAAACTGCCTCTTCAAGTGTTTGCCTTATTCAGCTTTTCACTTGTGCCATTAAGCAAGCACTGTAGCAAAAGCCACTTCCACATGGCCCTGGCAGGGAGCACTACTGCTCCATGCTCCATTCACACTGTACTTGGTATTGTATTTTTTATAATAAGATTTTTATGTAAAGCTCAAGATTTTGATTTACAGGGACCTTGCTGCAGTAAATACCATCTCGACTTTGTGCCACCGGTTCAGCTGTTAGCACAGTAAAAGTCATTTGTATCAAAGGGGCAAATGCTTTATTATGGTATTAAAAGGGAACATACTTTTGCTTTCAGGAAGTTATTACAAGCATTAAGTGTTTGTGCTTTTTAAGCAAATTAAGGTAGAAAAGAGAAACTTAGGTGAAACTTTAGCCATCTTCATGCTTTATACAGCTTTATCCAACATCATTTATCCCACAGTTAACCTAAATGCCTCATGCCCTAGTTCAGCAAGAGGAGGAAAATGTATCTGCTCATTATCGTTTTTTTTTTTCCTTTTTAAATCTTTTATCTTTTGTTGAATATGCGTGCATCCCTTTTCTTTAGAGGGAACTCCATTTCATACCATGTGCATTTCAAGGCTATTATGATGACTCCCTCCTAAAACTGTTGCACAATTGTCAGTGCAGTAATTTAATAACTCTGCCATACTGACAACAGTACGAGGAAGAACCTTATTGAGGCAGAAACAAAATTCTTAGCAACATTTATGATACCGTATTGATCATCATGATTAGAAAGTTAGTCTGTAGTTGTTACCATTTCATCAATTTCATTGGTTTAGTGGTCCTTGCCCAATTATTTTGCCTCATTAGACATGAAAAAATGAAGGGAGGCTAGAAGTTAAAACTTAAGTACTGAAGTACTCTTCCTTTTTCTTTGTTGTTACTTGTGCTATTAAGTTTTCTTCTCCTTGTGGGTCCATTCTTTTTTCTTTTATTGTTTCAGCTTATAACTCTCTTTTCCCTGCCACTTTAGGGTTATCTTACAGTCATCTATCTCATTTATTTTGTCAAGCGCTGGTGGTTGGTGCACCCATTGTACAGTAGCATTCTTACCTTTGCTTGCCTAGGGCATCCAGTCTGCCTTTCACATAGAAACAATGGCACTTTTTACAACTTATAAATTTGTAGAGTAACCAATCTCAGATTGGCAGCTAGAGTCAAAATGTTGCCAAATATTTATTCCCTTTATCTAATATTGCTTTATTCAATTGCTTGTCCTATTTTTATTATCTTAGAGTTCTTTCCTCAAAAGAGCAATCAGAACATTTTCTTTTCTTTCTTCAGAATCCCTAATCTCAACCGTCCATACCTGCACTGTACAATTTTCTTCCTGGGCTGTCTTATATTCAAGTAGAATGTATGCCAAGAGTCCCTTGCCTCTATCAATTTCTGCTAAAATGTCCAAGTAGACTTTTTCCTTCTACAATTAAATTATTGTATTTATTAATTTGATAGAGTCCAATAAATTCTTTCAATAGCTCTGACTGTACTGTCAATAAAAAAATGAAAGCAACAGGTTGATTTTTTTTTAATTTTTTTATTATTTTTTTTGTTGTTGTTAAGCTTAACTGTTAATTGAATGTTCCCAGATGGGCACTGTTCAATGTCAACAGGCTGAACATGATCAGAATTTCTTCTGTATCACATATATGATATAAAGTTTGCTGCAAAACACTTTCAAATGCTCTTTCCCTTAACTTAGTATGTTCACAGCCATTCAAAATTCCCTTCTTTATCACTACTATCTACTAATATATACATGAATATTCAGTAATATTAGAATACTTACTAAGCACAGAGGTCCAGCTAATCCTATAATATTCCCTTTTTCCAAGTTGTGAAAGGAGTATATCCTAAGAGCAAATGAAAGTAGATGTTTAGTTTCTGCTTGATGAAGTCCCCATCATTGTATTCAGAGGGCATTCATCTGGTAGGTATATTCCTTAAATAGTGTTATAGAAGAACTCTTGGAATGTGCTGATCTTATTGTCCTTAGAGGCAACTGATTTGTGAAAACTAACTACAATGCAGCAGTGAACATAAGGTAAATAGCAGAAATGGGGCAATGTTAGAGATTGCTGCCCTAATTAATAGCTTTGGACATTTCTATTTAATTCAAGCAGGCTAGAATCTGCCTGTATGGTTGGAAGCTCTTGTAGGTAGGTGATAAATGCAGTTAGCAACACTTTTAAGTATCACTTTTTTTTTTTTAAAGTAGTTGTAGATGGACAGCATGACTTTATATTTCTATATGTGGTACCAAGGATCGAACCCAGTGTATCACACGTGCTAGGCAAGCAGCCTATCAGTGAGCTACAGCCTCAGCCCACATTTCAACCTTTAATGATATTTAACCTTTGCAGATCTAGAAAAATCAGGCAAAAACTGTTATGTTCCAGCTCTGTCCAAGAATCTCCTAGTGTGGGCTGAGATTGTGGCTCAGTGGTAGAGCACTTGCCTAGCATGTGTGAGGCACTGAGTTCAATTCTCAGTACCATATTAAAAAAATAAAGATGTTGTGTCCATCTACAATTAAAAATATTTTTTAAAAATCTCCTAGTACTGATCTAGTCGGGGCTTAAGAAGAGGCATATGTCTCCAAAAGCTTGTTCTGCCCCAGAGCCCTGGTAGGTCCTTGAGAACCTTCCTATGCTGAATTTTAGAATATAAAAAAATGGATTTGTGGTTCTGCACATTTAATAACGTCGGCTTTTTAAGGGATAGTGATGGTCATTCCTATTAAATAGAAAGAGTTCTTCAACCAGTGGGTGATCTATATCATCTGGCTGCTTTCTGCCTTCTGTTAACCTTTGTCACTGCTACTTCTAGTATATAATCCCCAAAGTTGTCCTTTATCACACAGATCCTTGTTAAGTTAAAATACTATTGTCGATTTCTACATCTTTAGTTTCCAGGTCTTAAGGATTAGTTTAATTGGCTATTCTTCAAAAATAAAGGAAAAACTTGACCTAAAAGTTCTTACTAAAATAACATCCAACTTTAGAGCATTATTTATACAAATGCATTTTATTGTTTTAAACAGAAAAAAGAGGAAGCAGAAAATATTTGCATATAACAAATCCTAGCTTACAAATGTATTTTTTTTTTTTAAGTGGTGACACCTCCACCATTCAGGGATTTGTTTTGTTTTGTTTGCTTCACTGTGTCTTGAGCACTGTTGTTAGAGAAAAGCACATCTGGCATAAAGTGTAAAACCAGTGTCTCAACACCAGAAGAACTTGAAGAACAGAGATTTTTCTTATTTCTTCTAAGTAATCTTCAGTAAAACAAAAGGTGATCTTTGGCATAGATTCATACTTTAAAGGCATTAATATTGCATTTATATCAGGTAAGCAATTATACAAATATGCTGAGGGCCTTAAAATAATCTTTTATCAGTTAAAAGGAAATAGAGGTAGCCTGAGTGTGCAGGACCACCTTAAGACAAGTGCTATACATTTGATGGTGGGATCTAACACACATTGGGGGTGAAAGGAAAGCATATTTACACAAAGGGTCTCACTCCTTTACTTTTTTCATTTGGGGTTGGGAAAGAAATATGGTTTACGTGCTGGAGAATGCTTCGGCAGCAGTGATAAGTGTCGGGGGGAAGGGAGGAAAAATTGCCTTTTAACTTTGCATAATAGGAAATTTACTATGGTGATAATTAAATATTATGCTCATTATTTTCAATTATATTTAGGAGAGTATAAAGGGGCTTGGTTTAGTTGGTTGAAGGGAAGTAGGAATTCCAGGAGTATTTACCATTGATTTAGTCCCAGAAGCATTCAAATTCTAGTCTGCAAATACCACTCTCCCTTAGATAGAAGTGTCCTTTAACAGGATTGCCTTTTCATTAGACAATCTCAGAGGTCTAGTACTAATTCTTATGAACTGAATTTCAAAAGGATAAAAAGGATCTTTCGAAATTACATACAAACCGAAGTATAGTGACATATGCCTGTAGTCCCATCTATTCAAGAAGTCAAGACAGTAGTATCCCTTGAACCCAGGAGTTTGAGACCAGGCTTGGCAACATAGTGAGACTCCAATTTCCCAAAAAAGAAAAGAAAGAACACCTACATATATTTAAAAATCTTATTTAGGAAGGGTTTAGGGGAAGACTACAAAAGCCAGAACATGATTTGGTTAAAAATTAAATGCAGCATTTCAGCTTAAAAAAGAACAATAAAGAGCTAAGAATGAATGATAAGTCCTCAGCACAGACTTTGCAGGCAGTGACAAAGCATGGAACACCTGGGCATGACCCCCTTGGGAAGATGGGCAGGGCCACACTCTGGCTACTCTGCCCCTCTAGTGACAGAGAGCACCAGGGCACACAGTGTATTCATGGGATGGTTACCTTGGCAGGCTGAGGACTGCCATGGGACAAGAAGTTTCCTTAGCACAGACATTGCTCAGAGGCATAATAAAGACAGAATCATGATTCTGTGATTTCCTCCTGATAGTGAAGTTTGCTAGTGTGTGGAAACTTGAATTAAATTGGAGAGAGGCAGGAAATGAATCCAGGCCTATATGTTGGGGTTCCCAAAGGCTACCTTTTCCTGCAGCAGCAAAGCTCACTTCTGAAAAGGACCCAGGTAGCACAACCCAGGGCAGGCGGGGTCAGCAGCAACATGGAAAGCCCAAACAATTTTTTGGAAGCAGAGAGATTTTCTTAACTGACTGGCTGGTGTAAAGGAAACAAGAGGGAAATGTCCCCTAGGGTGTCTGGCTAGTGTTTTCACTCTTAAATTCTGAGCTTATGTGAAGTCCATGGGCTAGAAACCCAGTCCACCTATTGAGACAGAGTATACATGAGTTTAACTGTGTTTGAGAATACAGAATTTATATGGAGACATATTTCAAAGTGTCCATGACAAAGAGTATAAATGGTTTGTAATGTGAAGAGACCCCATTCCTTTCTGATATGTCAGGCTGGGATGTAGCTTTCAACCCCCAGCAACTCCAGATGGCTTCTGGAACTCGGATTATTCTTCTTTTCAGTAGGGGTTTCCGTACCAGCCAGGTTTGGCTGGGTACCTACTGGTACCAGGGAGTCTTTCTGACCCAGCGCAGTGTAAATCCAGCATCTGTTCGAATTTTGATTGAAGCAGCTTCTGCTTCTCTTACAGTCTCCTTCACGGACTGCATGAGGTTCTGGGCATTGTGAACTAGCATCTCTGTGGCCTGTCAAGAAAGAAGAACTCTCCATTATAGTAGTCCCTGATGCAATCCTGTCTCCAAAATAGGGTTAAGCCAAGAATGGACTGCAACCATTCCCTGTACTCACTTTCATCAAAAAAAAAACTGATGGATTAGCTGTATTAACCAAAAAGGACCCCAAACTAGACCATCATGATCTTGTACTGTGCCTTCAGATGGCATATAGTCTGTACCTCTTGATCTTCAAGTGCATTCCTCCCCCTCCAGACTCTTGATATTTATCCCCTCTACCTGGAATAATCTTCCCCTACGTAAATGTTGGTTTCCCCTCCCATGTCCTTCAGATCTTTTAGTTCAACTGTCACCACAGTAAGGCCTTCCTTTCTCCCATTATTTTACATCACAAACCACCTCCCAACTTGCAATAGTCCTCACCTCCAATTCTTTCATTTTTTTCCATAGAATCCATCATCACTCATTGAAACATTTTAAGTTTTATCTAGATTATTGTGCTCTGAGATAGGTTGTTTGTCCATACAAAATTTAAGTTCCATAATGGAGGACAGATTTTTGTCATGTTTTTTGTTTGTTTTGTTGAGTTTTTTTGTTTTGCTTTTGTAACAGGGATTGAACCCAGGGGTGCTTAACCACTGAGCCACATCCCCAGCCCTTTTTCATATTTTATTTAGAGAGACAGGGTCTCACTGAGTTGCTTAGGGCGTCACTAAGTTGCTGGGGCTGTCTTTGAACTTGCAGTCCTCCTGCCTCAGTCTCCCAAGTCGCTGGGATTACAGGTGTGCGCCATCACACCCAGCCCTGGTTGTGTGTGTGTGTGTGTGTGTGTGTGTGTGTGCACGCGCACGCACTCACGTGTGGCACCAAGGATTGAACCCAAGGCCTTGCACATGCTAAGCAAGCACTGAGCTACATCCTCAGCCCCTTTTGTCAGTTTTTGTTCACAGTTGTTCTCCAGTTCTTGGCACATTAGGAGGCATTTCATAAATATTCAATTAATGAATAAACCAACCACCTGATCAATCTATGGAAATCCAAAGTTTATCTTCCAAACACAACGATATAGAAATGGAATGTTGCTACTCTGCTCACATAAGGTCAGAAACCTTAATGATTGTTTAGCTGAGTTATTCTTAACTATTTAAATGGAGGTTGTGGGTTCTCCCGAGAAAAATATTCATGTTAAATTTATGCATGAAACTTCAGAGGGATCACAGTTCTAGGAGAAATAACTATGGGCTTGAATTTCTGATTAGTAAATCTTTGCACTTATCAACAAAAGGACTTAAGAGCAGAGAGGTCTAGAGATTGCCATCCAAACTTTCATCCTGACAGAGTCAGGATGAAAACTCATGACTTCTCACTTATAGTCATGTATTTATTCCATTCTACCACACTGTCATTTTCTACCTTTTTTCCCTGGATTTTTTTTTTGGGGGGGGGAGCGGGGTGCGTGGGTTTAACTAGGAATTGAGTTCAGGAATGCTCTACTACTGAGCTACAACCCTGCCTCAGCCTCTCAAGTAGCTGGGATTACAGGCATATGCCACCACACCTGGACTACTAGACAGTTTAATGGAACAGAGTAGATATTCCCAAGACAAATTTTTGTTGGTTAAATGAATAAGACCTGAATCTCTCAAAACTTATCCTTATTTCTCCAATTTTTCCCACCTTTAGGCAGAAGAGATCACATGACAAGAAAACAGCCCAATGCCCAAATGCTACCTAGAATACATGAGAGTTAGGGGTGAAGATCCAGTTCCCTTGTTTTGGGAGAAGAGAAGGTTAGGTGAGAGCTGTTGGATTAGAATATGGTAGTGGAAGCAGCAATAATGAAACCAAGAAAAGTAGCCTTCTTGTATCTTCTACAGTGCTCCTACCCTCTGTTTTCTGGCCTAGAAACCTAAATTATTTGTGAGTTCTCCAAGAGAAAGGATTGTGTCTTTTTGTTCTGTTTTGCTTTTGATACTGGGGATTAGACCCAGGGATACTCTACCACTGAGCTACATGCCTAGCCTTTTTTGCTGTTTATTTTGACACAGAGTCTCACTGAGTTGCTGTGGGCCTTGCTGAGTTGCTGAGGCTGGCCCCAAATTTATAATCCTCCTACCTCAGCCTCCCAAACTGCTGGGATTACAGGCATGCGCCACCATGCCTGGCATCATGGTATCTCTTATTTTCTTAACTCCCAAACCACCTGATATATATTGCCTCATACTCCATGTATGAGCCCTGTCTGGGCAGTCCAACAAAGATGTATTCCTTATCAAAAGAAGAAAAGGGGAATGTGGCTCACAGCAGGATCTTCCAGAGGGGAAATAAGAGGAGGAAGGGGTGCTCAAATGAGGATGGATTTTTTTGTTTTGTTTTAGGTACTGGGGATTAAATCCAGAGGCATTCTATCAGAGCCATACCCCCAGCCCTTTTTATTTTGAGACAGGGTCTTAATAAATTGCTGAGGTTGGTCTTAAATCTTGCTATCCTCCTGCCTCAGCCTCCTGAGCTTCTGGGATTACAGGCACCCACCACCAATCCCAGCAAATGAGAGTTTTCTGAAAGATCTGGGCCACAGTTCCACAACAGAGAGAAACAGGACAAACTGTGAAGAAGAACCCTCCCCCCATCATTCTTTCTCTGTGAGAAGACTAAAGAAAATGCAAAAGAAGCACCACCTTGAGCTGTCACTTAAGTCTCAGAACAGGCCTAACCACCTCATACTCCTGCACACTCTGCATGATTCATTCCCCTAAGGCTGTAAAATCACCCTGAGAATGGAAGGCAGACAGTCTTCTCTCCAGCCAAAAAAAGACAGAGTGCGTGGGTGTGGACAGGCAGCAGAAGCCTTAAGAGAGCCAAGCCTTTTGTAGGAGGGAAAAGAACTGAGTAGAAGCCTAACTGGCACAGATTCGTGGTGCTACCTCAACCGTTTAACCTCCCTATGCCTCATTTTCCCATCTGCAAAGTAACACAAGTTGCCCAAGTGCTTTACTTTCAATCCCAAATTTCTTTTTTTTTAAATATATTTTTTAGTTGTAGATGGACACAATACCTTTATTTGATTTATTTACTTTGTATGTGGTGCTGAGGATCGAACTCGGTGCCTCACTCGTGCCAGGCAAGCACTGTACCACTGAACCACAATCCCAACCCCCCAGTCCCAAATTTCTGATGCAGCTCTATAACAAAAGACTCTCCTCCTGAGAAAGTGAGTCATAAGACTCCATCCCCCATGCCGAATATTTCATTCAGAGCTAAAATGTCTTTAAAACAGAATTAAAGTGAATAGCACAGAAGCTGCTAGCAAGAAACCAAAAGCCGCAAATACATACCTGCTCAGATTCCTCGTCACTGATGTTGGTCCGGCCCAGCATGGTGGCCTTTACAGTAGACAGGATTTTGAGCTGGGTGCTTATAGTTGGGATTCGCTCACATACCTAAAGAGAAAGTTTAATTTGGTACGTGTCCATATTTGTCTTGCCCACACGTTCCTCAAGGGGAGGACTTCCACTTCTTTACTTCCAGTGGCTAGCATGCAGAAGGCACTCAAATTACAACAAAACACTTTTTGTCTTCCTGAGGTTAGTCCAGTCCCTTTATACAGAAGCCAACACATTCACATTCTTTCCTTTGACTAAGAAATAAACTTTCTTGAGTCTGTCTTTCCCAAACTCACATGAATATTTCCCCTTTCTTCCATTTCCCTTGCTCACCCAGTTTTCTCTCTGCTGCTTCTCTCCCTCATTATCCTCATATTCCTCCCAACTCTCTCCACCCAACCTGCCAAACACACACCCTCTTTTCCCAGGTACCTGTAAGAGGTTGGTTCTAATCCGCTTATCTGTGCACTGCTTGGCAACTTCCTTGGCCAACCGAGTCACTTCATCTGAGGCCTTGGCAATGTCCTTGGCACACTGAATGAGTGCCCGCTTGGTACCACTGCCCCCTCTTACCAGCCGAGACATCTCAGCCATCAGCAGAGCCATGCGCTTGGCTGCTGCAATGATATCATTGCCCTAGAGAGAAGCAAACGCACAGTGTGAGCTCTGCCCACACTCTGCCAAGTTAAGGAAGGAGCAGAAAAACAGGAGAGGAGAGAGCCTGCTGCTCTAGCAGCCCTCTGGAAGGATGAGAAGAAGATTAAAAGGACGGTTCATGAATGATATGGATAGCACTGGAGAAACAGAGAAGGATGAGGCAGGGCACTTGATCAGAGACAGACAGAGAATCTCCTGACTGAAAAAGGAAGACCTGGATATAAGTCAGAAAGGGCAACATGTGCACTGCAGGCATAGCACTGAACAAGCACTTAAGCATCTCCAGGTTAATAGGGTCAATAAAATGGGGCCATGGCCAAGGAGTTGGTGAAACAGGCATTTTCATTCTGTAACAGGAGAAAAAGCAGTAGAACTGGCCAGAGAGGAAAAATACAGAGGAGCCGTTCCAGATGCTGAAATCATCCTCTTCATCCTTACCCTGGCTGCAAATAGCAGCCAAAATTCTCACTACTTCACTAGAATGTAAAACCTAAAGTAACTGTTCACAGCTGGTGAAAGGGGAGCATAATTTTCTGATCCAATCTGCTCTTGCGTTTCCTCAAGTGTCTCATTTGTCCTGTCAGCCTGAAATATAACATCATTTTAATCTTTCACATGTAAAAACATCAAGAATCAATTCTTCAGCCCCTTCAGTTAAAGTGAAGCCTCCAATTAATGGAATCTTCAGCTAAGAGGATGCTGGAGAAGGAATCAGAACCCCATTCTATTTAACAGCAGTTTATTTTAGATTTGGCATTTGGTTCACTAAAACCTTCACGGGTCATAATAAAGATATATACAAGTAATTTATTTTACGCCCATAAAACAACCTAAAATCACAGCAACTACATTATTTTCAAAAGGCCAGGCCCCACTCATTTCTCCCCTCTTGCTTTTCAATTTATAAACAATGCAGTGAGGCATATGCAAATCATGCCACTACAGGGTGCTCTGTGAGAGACTTCCACAGACACCATGAAATGGCTAATTGTTTATGTGGTAGGTGTGTGATGTCTCAGGCAGTAAACTGAGATTGAAGAGAACATGTACAGGAAGAAGCCAGGAGGTGAGAGTATATTAGATGAGGCCCTCTGAACCACCTCTTCCAGCACAGACCTAGAATCATTCCAAATTTCAAGACTTTGGTTAGGAAATAGTGTAGCGTCAGGGTTAGTTGTTATCCATCACTCTTCAAACCTTTCTTCTTGCAACATGCCACCTTCAAAGGAAATAACGTGACCAGAAACAGAAACCCCATTCTAATTAATAGCAGTTTATTTTAGATTTGGCATTTGGTTCACTAAATCCCTTCTGTTGCTATCTATCCCTCCTCCCACTGAGAAACCTGAACAAGCAGTCAGTGACGTCCCTTCCCTGTGGGCTCCTATCAAGGCCAACATCTGCCACACAGGAAAGTGCAAGGGAGCAAGTAGTCCTCCCCACAGACCTTGCAATATAAAGCTGCTTCTCACCCTGATCAATATGCCTGAACCATCCATCAGTGAGCAGTCAGGGGCAGCAGGTAGGGGCCAAAGCTCAATGGTCAGGCCAGGGGACCTCTTAATGGTAGAGAATGGTTCCTGACCTAGAAGTCATTGAGAGGTGCATCCACAGCTTCTCAAGAGATTTAAAGTTGACCAAGGGCCACAAAGTTGGTAAGAAAAAGAATCCTTTCAAAAGTGACCCCATTTCTCTTCATCTCCCAAACATAAGTGCAATACAATTAATCTGGCATTAGCAGACCTACCAAACTTGTGAAGCCAGTCCTAACAACAAGGTGCAGACAAACAGATACCCACCCTGCTCAGACTCACAGGACCCGCACAGATCATGAGTGATGCAATGTGTCAAGGCTGCACATGGCCGGATGCATTTGGAGCAGTCCCCAATTGGGAGTGCTAATCAGTACCTTACTAGACCACTTGGTAGCTTCCCGATGCAAGGACTGAGCCGCGGCCAGAATGGGCTGGTTGACAGGCTGATTGGATGGCATTAACAGTAGCTCAGGTTCGTAATCGTCTTCCATGTCAGAGGGGACAGAGAACCCAACAGCATCAACCGCATCTGCCTCAGCTACAACTCCTATACCCACCTCAGCAGCTGGGATACCCGGCTTTGTCGATGGCGGGAAGGATGAGAAACAGGGATAGTGTTAGTACGAGCAGTAGGACTTGGGAAACTGAGTTTCAGCTAGTTTAGTAACCAAAGCTTGCCTAGGATGGGAAAGAAAATGGCATACTCCAGGAGCTACAGGAACCAGGGTCCACAGAAGGGGGAACTCCAGCAGCATTCAGCCCAAGTCACCCTGTGGTGAAGGAAGAAAAGGGTCTTGCTCTACTAGCAAAGGGTTTCCAGAGATATTTATATTAAGAAAGCAAGTTACATTTTTTATACACTTAACTACTAAAATTAAACTTGACACATGTAATTCTCATGTCAGAACAATTTTGAGGAGCAAAACCCAATTGTAGTTTATTACCTTTAAAAGGAATTAGAAGGGAAAAGTAAATACAGCCATACAAGTTGCTTTGAACAGAAGAAAATGAACACTTTTCTGGATTGTATGGTCACAACATTGTTCTGGGACACAAGAAGTGACAGGTCAGCTCTGCAGCTAAAAGATCCAAAATTTAAAACGATATGTCAAAGGTAAGAAACACCAAACCAGGAAAGAGGTAGGAAATCAATGATGGATGAAGAGGATTCATTAAGTACCCCTCAATAGGTCCAGCTATAGGAACCTCAAGAAAATACCCTATCTGGATTGCAGGGAAAACCACGTGCGTGTGGGCACGCGCGCGCACACACACACACACACACTCTCTCTCACACACACACACAACCCCCCAAAGTCTTTAGAGAGAAAGCTTCCACAATATCTTATTACATCTGTTTCTAATACCAACCTCAAAAGCTTCTCCTTGAATACAACCTAAATCTCTCTCCTATTGCAAAATAGATTCTTTCATCTCAAACTTGACTTATCTAATTCACAGATTGGACAACACATGGACTTGACCAATGAATGAGGCTCAGCTCAGAAGACCCTCACAGGCGCCCAAAATGGGTGCCTATGAAAAGAATAGGGACCATGAGAGGAAGAACATGAATTTAGTAACAGAGGTGGGTACTGTAAGAGATCAAGGAAAGAGACGGGGGGATCAGATGCTGAAAAACAGGTTGAGGAGAAAAGAAAACAAAATGAATTGCTTCAATGAAGTCAAACCATTCACATGAAGGACAGTGACCACAGGTCCTATACATCAAAGATCTGTAACCAAAAGGAAGTAGGAGTTTGTATGGAATTATATTTGAAATTACTATCAATCTTTATACATAAAGTACCAATCAACTTATATATAAAATCTGTCTCACCAAAAGGTGAAAATTAAGTTGGAGGATTCAGAGCCAAAAAGGGGTTCAGGTACCATCTAAATCCTTTCACTTAAACTCTGTCTCAACAAGACTCAACCCCATTCTGTAGTGAGCAGAAAGGCTAACTCACTGCAGCTAGGGATGAGTGACAAAGTATAAAAAGACAGACAGATTGACACACACACAAATACATATTCCTCCCCAACACATACACAGTTCAAGTTGTTCCTGACTTCACATAACTCAAAGTCGGCAAACCCCTAATGCTTAAACCTCAAGAGACACTCAGACCTCAAGTTTTCTGGTCACAAATGGCAGAGTGGGGAAAATATGTAGGCCAGTACTGTCTGCCCCTTTTATGTTTTATCTTCATAATTTATTAATATTTTGTTTCACTGTACAATGTACCTAATTTAATGAAATTTCCATTTCCTTTGCGTAAAATCAACCCTCACTGTCACATTCCTCACTCTCTTTATACACAAAGGAATCTACCACACGGTCAACAGGTTATGCGTGCCCCAGTTGGAAAGCTATCATTATAAATAATTGCACAGATCAAGTCCAACACTTACAAAGTCTTCATTCCTTCTTAGAACCTGAGTGCACAGATAAGCATTTTGAAAAACATAGTTAAAAACCAAAGTTAAGGGCTAGGTGTAGATCAATGCTAAAGTGCTTGCCTAGCATGTACAAAGCCCTGAGTTCAATCCCCAGCACCACAAAAACAAAACAAAACAAAAACCAAGATTAATTTCCCAGCCATAAAAAAAAAAGAATAATAATCCAAGGTCAGCTACAGGTGTAGGCAGTCCCAGGGACTACATTCAATGTAAAAGTTAAAAGACAGAAGGATATGAAAAGAATAAAGGTAAGTAGATAGTGAAAATAAAGATCTAGGATTAAACTAGAAACAGTTTAAACTAAGAACTATATTTCATTGCTCTTATCTAGAAAAGCTACCACTCATTATCATATAGGAAGAAACAGGTAAGTTATTCATGGGGCATTACTGCTGCGGCATCCAAGTTTTCATCCCCCACATTAACATTTACACTGAGCTGGAATGAGCCTGGAGCTGTCTAGAGTTGAGAGGTAGAATGATTCTGAGAAAAACAAAGCACACGGCTTCTAACACCAATCTATCCGCTTCTAATGTGAATGCAAACATTTCATCTAGTTGTAGCACAGCCCACAAAAGACAGTTTGGTATTTGGAGATCCAACAATTAACAATGGAACATCTAAAAACATTTTAAAAGAAAGATAAGCAAATTCTAAAGACCCTAAATATCCAGGGTCAGTGCAGCTGACATTCTAATGGACAAAGAAGAAAGGAACCTTCTTCTCAAACCACAGGCATCCCAAATTTCATTTGAGCTGCAAGAAGGAGAAACTATCAAACACCAGAAATATCTCACTAAATCACAGGTAATGGCAGGAACATGCTATTGGCAACACAGGAACCAAAGCAGAGAGAGAGAGTAACTCCATCTGGACTCTTCTTCCTGGGCTTTGTGCATAGTTCTTCATCTTTTCTCAAAAGACATCCTTTCTTGACAAGAAAAGCTTCATTACTTACCTTGCTGGACCATTTTCGAGCTTCATCATGGAGCTGCCTGGCAGCCATCATCATTGGCTGATTAATCACCTCCCCGGCTTTCTGCTCAGGAAACTCTTCATCCTTTTCCTCTGGTGGTGGGGGCCTGGGTGGAGGGACCTCACCCTCAGGCAGAGGTGGTTTGGGAGGAGCAAGCTCATCTGTTAGCTAAGAAAGAGAATAAACAGGTTTGTAAGTAAAACCCTAGGAACTACTCCCCCTTAAGATTTTTTCCTTTCTTCTAAAAAGCATCTCTAGGAAAGCCACCCACATTGACTTCAAATAAGACCACCCACACTGAGCCACAGGGACCACCTGCTGCAATCTCAACAGAAGCATTTTTTTTTTCCCTCTACAAATAGCTAACAGTTACTGTGTTGGTCATATCCCAGAGGGGTATACACAACACTACGGGATCAAAAGGATTCTCAAAGATGATCCCCACATAAGATCGAAGTTCTGGGTTCTAGGTCAAGTTCTATGAAGGGGCAGCTGAAAGGCAAATAACTTCTCACTTAGGCCTTAGGTTCTTCATCTCTCAAATTACCTTTAAGATCCTAATTCCTTTTTTATAACCTTTTTAGTGAACCTACTTGTTGTTTTGTTTTTTAAATTAGAAGAACTTTTATTAATTTATTTTGTGGTGCTGGAGATTGAACCCTGGGCCTTGTGCATGCTAGGAAAGCATTCTACTACTGAGCCACAGCCCCAGTCCAAGATCCTGATTCTGAATGTCATGACTACCTAATGTCATGAATATCTCCCTCTGTCTGCCCCAACCACTCACCAAGAGCTCAGGTGTGGGGAGTGGAAAAAAATCAAAGAACTGTTGGAGATTAGGGAAGCAATATTTACTTCTCAGTTATGAGCACAATGATCCAATTCTGTCTTTGACCAACTTAACATATTCTACTGATATTAAATACGGGAAAATAAGTCAAAGAAATAAATTACTGTTTTGATAAATTATTCCCTATATCAAGGTATTCCCAATAATGTTAGTTGGAGTAAGTATCTAAATATAATCACTATTTCTATTTCTTGGATTTGTATTTGCAAGATATTGCCCATTGAACTTGCTGCTGAATCATGGATTCAAGGTACTTTGATATTCCTCGCCAGTATCAAATGATTTTAAACTAAGGTTTGATAAAACTTTTTTAGAAAAGCATATATTACTTTTTTCTAACAAGAAAAAATAACAGTCAAGTAAAGGAAGATTCTAAACACCATTAGCAATTGGGAACACATGAAATTTCCTCCTCACAAGCTGTGCAAGGATTTTACCATAGCTCACTACCTCATCATTCATTACATCCACACTTACCAAAGCCAGCTTCTCTGTTCCAGGCACACCCCATTACAAGAGGCCAATAGCACAGATACCTACCAACCCATATATAAGCACTGGATTTTGACTCTACTAAATTTGGGAATAAAAATCAAGATCAGCCTCTGACTTAAGTTCAAGTAAAAGCTAAACCAAGCCACTTGATTCTTAAAATCTAAAATACAGTTTACTTCTCTCTCGTTACATTCTCAACACCCTGCTGCTCAACACTCTCCATCTCTCTGAATTTACTTACTCGGAGCTGTTCAAGGTCAGGTGGAGGAGGTGGGAAGTCAGGTTCCTGAGGTTGGAAGGCTTCTCTGACCTTGGCCACAGCTCCCAGGATCCGATATCCAGAGTCCAGGAAGCTCTTTTGCAGGCCTAAACACAAGATACTCTCATTTTCAGCTGGGTAGGTCAGTGCCCCAAAGCACTGTCTGTCCAGCAGAAGAACTGGTTTCTATCAACAAAAGCTGAATGTGAAGCTGCCAGTAAGCATCATAGGCAGTGGCTAAAGGGGAAGGGAGGTAGGGTAAGTCAGATGCCCTGAGGCCTGAAAAGAGTAGGAAGTCTCACAAACCAGCTGTTCCTACAGTGTTCAGCGTGCCTGCTTACTGGACAACAAACAAGTAATCAAGAGATTCTTGGGCATGAACACTCTGGCCTCAGGTGGTACCCACCACCTCTCTGATGATGACACAGTCAAGAGTTATCTGCTCAATGCAGAATGTGGGACATGTCAGTTTCAGATTGGGCATACATTCCCCAGAGTACTTCCCACCTTTCTCCCTACTCCTTTGCTCTATTTGGCATTCAGCATGTTAGCCATTTATGCTGAGCTGGAATTCAGGAATCTTCAAAATATGAGAAACTCCAATTAGTGAACCAACTATGTCCTTTATGATGGTGGGTTAAGAACATCAGAAAGATTCTGCCTGAGTCAGGGGTGGATAAACCAGCGCTTCCTTTCCACTCTCTCACTGGATTCTACTCACAAATGAGAATAGAAATATTAGGTGTTCAAAACAGGAAGGAATTCAGATGATTCTAACCAAAGGAGTGGCTCCAATTACACTCTCCTTCAGTGATACTGAAAATATGATCAAAATTCAGCTGAAAAAAACCCAAGATTCTTTAGGGCCTAAGAGACGAGAGGTTAACTTTAGCCCTCCATATTTGACAGAAAAATAAAATGCTTTATAGAGAAAAATACATAAGAAGTTACAACAGTATTATATAAGCTTATAAAAATAAGCTTATATATTATATATATGGCAAACTGATTAGTCATCTTTTGAGAAATTTTCAAAATAATGATTGAACAGGGTTAAGAATTGTTTAGCCAGACAACATTAAGAAAGCATAGTGAAGCTGAACCAGTATATCTACACACCTGCCAATACTGCAGAGGTGTGGACAGAAAATGATTAGCCTAGTATTCTCAGACTAAGACTTTGTATGTGGCGGTTGTGAGGTGCACCTTATCTCACCACCATGCTTTGTTGCTTACCAGGGTCAGAAATGTTTCCAGCCACAGCCTTTGCATCCATCACCATAGGGGAGATTGTTTTGCTCAATTCATCAGAGGCAGCTTTCACAGCCTCACGGAACTTGGGATCCTCAGAGTTCTCCACCTCCCTCTTCGCCACCAGCAGGATTCGGTTGGCCCGACGAGCAATGCTTGTTGCCCCAGCAACCAGCATCTGAGGCTGAATGTTGGCCATGGCTACCTTACACTTGTCCAGATCTTTTTTAATTGCTTCTTCAGAAGCATCCAACAGAGATTTGGTATCAATGGCTTCGTCCACCAGCCCTGTCAAGAGACCAAAAATGGAATTTAATTTCTGTTTTAGAAGAATAAGAGACTCCAAAATATTCATTTCTATTTGTTTCTCATGATAAACTACAATACTCTCTCTTTCAGCTAAAAGTTATCCCTACACAACCATAAGCTTCCAAGTAAACACCACTGAAGAAAAAAGTGAAGACACAGGTAGGCTATATGGATTTGCAATATTTATACCAACCGTGGTCGCTGGTCTTGTATCCACCACAGATAACCAGAAATGCAAAGACATCAGGAGGAAACCAAGATCATGTCTGAAACCTTCACCACATCACCACATTATCTGTTAATAACATTTTCTCTCTTCCCGTCTCACTCCCAAGCCATCTGTTGGTTGTTGGCAGCATGCAGTGCCCAAGATGAGCCACGCAGAGGATTCCAATAACCCTAAAAGCCTGTTTCTTGTTTCTGTTACCTCTCTTCAGACACTGCGGGAGCTCCACTTTCATCTCTGGCTGCTATAGACCCCTGTCAGCGGGTTCTGCAGGGACAACGAAGAGCCTACACTCTTCATTTCGTCCCTTCTCTCCTATCTCTCTCTCCACAGAGAATGAAGAAGATTCAGAAGTGCTACTTGCTACTTCAGTCGTACAGACACAGGTTTGTTGGTGGTTGGTTTCTTCTGTTCTTTTTTTAAACTACGTAGTTGATAAGTTGGAGGAAACTCTGAGACAAGTTCTATTAAATAGTAGCTATTGTGGTTCCTTGAAATGTGAACCCACTGAAAATGACAGGGACACCCACTGTATCCACGAACACCGCCTCCTAGCCTCTGAAACTGAACTCTGCCACAGACTGGGCAAAGACACTATTCAAAGTGAAGATAGGAGCTGTAACAATAAACATCACACTGGGAGGGTGGCACTGAAATAAAAGAGACTCAAACAGTCTCTCTTCAGACAAAGTTGCAAGGCTTGAATGAGAAGCCGCCACTGCTCAGCAGCCTTAATCAGGGCCAAGAACACTGTTGAGCACATGACTGTCCCTTTATCCAATTATAGCTGAGTAACAGAACCAGTCCCGCTTGGGGCTCTCAGAACTCATTCCTCATGGATCAGACAAGAACTTTACAAAAACTCTACCTGTCATTTTTTCAACATTATCAATCCACTGGTTCTTCATGGTTTCAAAATGTTCACAAGCGGCTTGATTTCCAGGGTTCCTCAGTAAGATGCGAGCAGCTGAGATGACCTGACAATGACAAAACAACTTTTCAACACCAGCAGAGTACCCTCATACTCAAATTACAAATCTGCAATGAAGCCTTCTCCTCTTCACCAAGAGATGGCACCATAAAGCCAAAAACTGACAGGTCTCTTTAGGGTGAACACACTAGGTTTGGCTCCCCAGAGTAGACTCTTTGCAGAGAGGGGGAAAAATGTCAATGGCCGTGTGTGTGTGTGTGTGTGTGTGTGTGTGTGTAATGAAACCCAGGACCTTATGCATGCCAGGTAAGCACTCTACTACAGGCCACAGCCATAGCTCCTATAGTCTGATTTTAAGGAGATAAGAAAATTACAAAGTGCTTTCACATCCATTTCTTACTTAATCCTGACAACAACAACCTATGCAATATCTCACTTTGCAGATGCAAAAACCAACACTCAGAAAATGTAAGTGGGTTGGGACTGAGGTTGTGGCTCAGAGGTAGAGTGCTCACCTAGCATGTGCGAGGACCTGGGTTCGATCCTCAGCACCACATAAAAATAAATAAAATAAAGATATTGTGTCTGGTTACTACTAAAAAATAAGTATTAAGAAAAAAAATTGTTTAGAAAAGAAAAGAAAATTTAAGTGGGTTGCTCAAGAGGTCCTGACTAGTCAGTGATAGTTTTGGGGATAGAAGGAAATAACATAAGTATCTGGTAAAATATAGGCTATACATGCATATGTTTGCTCCTAAGAGCAATCCATTAGATTTGTTAGTTTCATTTTTATAAAGTGAGAAAACCAAGCTTCAAGGTCTAAGAGGATTCAAGTTTGGTTCTCATTTTTTCCAAAGTTAGTAACTTTTACACAATACCTTTATTTTATTTATTTATTTTTATGTGGTGCTGAGGATTGAACGCAGTGCCTCACACGTGCAAGGCAAATGCTGTACCACTGAGCCACAACCCCAGTCTCTAAAGTTAGTAACTTAAAGCCTAGTTTTCTTTTTCTCTTTTTTAGAAATCTGTTCTATACTCAAAGTTTGTTTTATGTTCCATTTTTATGGAGTTTTTCAAGAAAGTTAGACATATATGTATTTTATGATTTTTTTAATTGGATGAATATAATCTTTCAGGAAGGTCTAATTTGTGGTGGGCATGTAGTTCAGTGGTAGAATACTTGCCTAGCACATGCAAAGCTCTGGGTTTGATCTCCAGCACCACAAATATGGAGAGAAGGAGACAGAATGTATGAATTTAATTTGCTAACATGTGACATAGGCAAAAGCTAAATAACTAATAAGATATGCTCTCTTCCCACAAGTTCCTATGAAATTCAGTATTATAGATTTATAAAGCCTAATATGGTTCCCTGTGTATTTCGAGCCCTTAATAAATATCTGCTGAATAAATGAATGAAAAAAAATAAATTTTCTATAATCTGAATAAAAGTCGCACAAACATCAAGCTAAATCACATTGAACTGATTTTTAAAGAAAATCTATTACCTGTTACGACTTTAATTCCTGTGCAATTTTTTTTCTTTTTTTCTCAATTTTCTTTGCTCCCAAATGTACTAGCTATACTTTGATTATATAATTCATTATACACCTTGGTTATACAATTAAGTAAAAAAAAGAAAACACACTATGGAAACAACTGGGCTTTTTTTTTCTTTTCGTTTTTAATTCCCTCAAAGAGATGTCAGGGAAATATAAAATATAAGCAAACTAACCTCTCAAGATCATCTAAGAATTTTCCTAACTATATATGTGTGTTCATTAGAAGAGCTGCTTTACTAGTTTTTTCTACTTCTATTTTGGGGGAGTGGGCAGGGAAGCACTGGGCTTTAAGCCAAGAGGATTTACCACTGAGCTTTTTACTTCCCCAGCCCTTTTTACTTTTTATTTTGAGACAAGGTCTCACTAAGTTGCCTACGGTCTCACTAAGTTGCTAAGGCTGGCCTCAAATTTGCAATTCTCCTGCCTCAGCCTTCCCAGTTGCTGGAATTACAGGTATGTTTCACCACACCCAGCTTTATTTTTACTTTCAAAACTAATATATGGCCATTATTTAAAAATTCAAACAATACATAAATGTATAAAGTTAAAAGTCCCATAAAATACTAATTCTAGAAATCACTTAAGTTTCACATTATGAATATTTTTTAATGTGATCATACAGTTGGTATTCACAATTGTATAGAAAGTGTTCTGTAATTAACTTTCTTTACTGAACACTGTATAATGAGTATTGAAATAAAGAGCAAGCAAAACTCAACCTGGGGTGTGAGTTCTCGAGCAGTCTTCACTGATGCCTGAATGCCTTCCACTGTTGATTTATTAGCAGTACCAACAGCAGCCGCCTTCTCTGCTGTAGCTCCAAGCCTTCCTGAATGGTTTTCAAAGTTTGCTGCCCTCTCATCAAATACCTTGAGGAAAATACAAAGACATTAAGAATATTTATTTCATGAAAATCTGTGCTCCAAGTTCTGCTTATTTTAACTAATTAAAATAAAAAGAAGATTTATTTCAATAAAATGGCTCAGGCCACCTAAGAAAAACTCCTTCTTTAAAGCAAATGTAGTACCTTCTCTAATGAAGATGTTAAGAGATGACATCAAACTACTGCTGAAACTATAGTCAAATGCAAAATCTTGACCACAATATACCTCCTCAGAGGTTTAGCTTTAGCCACAAGCATCCTGTATACACACTTACGCACACAAACACACATGCACGCATGCACACGTGCATCCCTAAAGATAAAGACTAAGGCCAGTTTCCAAAAGGTTTATCTTCTAATCTGAAGAAGACATACAAACCTACTCAGCTACTATAGGTAGTTGAAAGCATCACAAGCTTAGGGCTAAAAGTCCTAAACTGAGTTCTAGCTTCCAAAAAAAAGTATGCCTCATATATCCCATTACCATTAATGTTGTAAAAACTCTTCCCTTGACCTTCATAGAAAAAAATGAAACCTGGTGCTCATACTCTGGACCTGACATAGGGTAAGGATAGCTGACTTTTATTAATCCCAAATGCAAAATTATCTACTTCTTTGTTTATTCAGCTCTCAAATTATAAAAAGTTAACTTTTCCTTCAATGTGAATACCATGCAAGGTTATATACCACAAATAGGGCTAGTTAACCTACTTGAAATGACAAGTTCTTCCATCATTTATTTGGATAACATTTTTAGAAGTGACACTTGAAAAAGCAAGGCATACCAAATAGCACTGGGTCAGGCTTACGTTATGCACAGAAGATGTCAGGAACTCCCTACAGAATACATCCTCTTTATTTACCTCCTCCTGAGGGTCTGCCCACCCAGTTCAAACTCAAGGCAGATAATCTCTAAAGGTTTCTTGGCTCAAACAAGTTCCGATCTCATTGCCAATGTTCTGGGATTTATGTGGGTTTTTTTGCGGGGGGCGGGAGGGTTGTTCTTGTTTTTGTTAAATTTTTGAGACAGTCTTGCTAAATTGATCTTGAACTTGACCAGGTTGGCCTTGAACTTGCAATCCTCCTGCCTTAGCTTCCTATTTTGCTGGGACTACAGGCCTATACCACCATACCCAGCCTGTGTCTATCCTCTTGAGTCTCTTTCCTATCCTGGTCTCTTGGTTAGAATTAGTTTTCTAAATTCCTGCCATTTCATGCTCAAAACTTCTGCCTGAAATCTCTGATCTCCTAGTTCCCTTTTCCTGGTCTCAGTCCTTGTTTCTTTTTCTTTCTTTCTTTTTTTATTATTTTATTATTATTATTATTAGTGTTTTATTTTTTGGTGGTGGTGGTACTGGGTATTGAACCCAAAGCCTTGGACATCCTATGCTAGGCAAGTGCTCTATCACTGAACTGCAGCTGGGAATACAGGCATGAGCCACTACAACTGGCTCAACCCTTGTTTGTGTATACATGATGCTAGTGGCTAAGGCTAAACTTATGAGGAGGTATATTGTGGCCAAGATTTTGCATTTGACTAGATTTTCAGCAGTAGTTTGATGTCATCTCTTAACATCTTCATTAGAGAAGTTGCTATATTTACTTTTGAAAGGAGAAGTTTTTCCTAGCCAGCCTGAGCCATTTTATTGAAATAAATAACTGGTCTTTTGGCATCTCCTCCCAAACCATATATCATGCTCCCTCTGATTTAACTGACTGCTTAGTATAATTTTCTTGGCACTCGACCAAAGTTTACTGACCATCTACTACATAAAAAATTTTGGGATAGGTGCTGAAGATACCAAAGTAAATGAAACAATATCTGCATCTTAAGGAGATCACAGCCTAGTGGGGGAAAAAGAGCCAATAGATACTTGCAATATGGTATTCTATGTGCAAAAATAGAGCTAAACACTGATATTACTGGAGCAAAGGAAAAGGTAATTAACTCTCCAGGAAGTAAAGCATAATAAAGAGGGAAAAGGTAGAAAAAAAAAGAAGGGGTAGACAAACATAGAAAGGGCAGAATATTCAAGAAACTACAAGCAACTATGTATTTCTGGGGCATAAACTGAGAATCAAGGGTTTGTAGGAAATTGACATAGAAAGGATATTAAAAGCCAGATCAGAGAGCTCCGTTTTTATACTATGTTGAAGATAAAAACTGATGCATTTAACCAGGAGAACAGCAGGATCAGATTTGGTTTTGTATTTAATTGGTGGGCTAGTGACAGATTCAAAGAAGACCAGTCAGAGTTATACAGGCATGCAGGAAGTGAGGAATAAGCATCAGAATCAGAGCTGTGACAATACCAATGGAAAACAGAAAGGATTTAAGAAATATTTGTGAGATCAACTTAAGATGCCCGAGTTATTTATTGATATGAGAAGATGGGGAGAAGAAAAGTCCATGGTGACATACAAATTACCAAGGGATAACAGAAGGTCAACATATGCTGAGGAACTAATGAAGCATCTAGCTGGAAAGGATGAGCAAATAGTTGGATCTACTAGTCCAAAAATCAAAGAAGGCTGGAACAAAAGAGTAGAAAATCCTCCTAGCCTGAGGAGACCATGAATTGAACTGCCTAGTAATTGAGGCCAGAGAAAGAAAATAGGGGTCAGTAGCAAATAAGAATAACACAAACCTTCACCTTTGGATTAGTTTGCCTGACCCAAAAATCTCTTCTTTGCTGCCAGTACTATAAAGGCTGAAAAACCAAATACCTGCTTTGCCAGATTCTTTTGCAGCTGAGGTAACCATGCAACAGAGTTCTAAACAAGGAGACATAAGTGAAGGTCTCCTGGAGGATTTCTGGGAAAGCCTTTACTTTCTTTCATTCAGCATTAACTATGTGTCAGGTATTACACTAGGAACTGGAAATAAAGCAATGACAAAATGAAGTCTCTACCCAAGTGGAGCTTTCGTGCTAATTTGAGTGACACAGACAATAAAAATAAACTATATCAAATGTTGATAAATGCTATAGAGAAAAGTAAGATAAGGAGATAAAGAAATCCCTGGGATCGGAGTTGCCATTTTAGGTAGTAATCCAAAAATGATATTTCAATAGAAAACTGAAGAAAGTGAGTGAATAATAAAATCTGTTGGGAAAACAAGTGCAAAGGCCTCAAGATTAGAACATATACAAAAGAAGCTCTGTTCTCATAGAGAGGAATATGCAGGGGGAGAATAATAATACCAACATGAAGTCAGAAAAGTAGACAAGGAACCAGATTCAGTGGTGTGATGAAGCCATTTTTACCAAATATGTAAAATATGCCTATCTCTTCCCAACTTTGCTTTCAATGACTTCATGTTAAAACAGCCATGCTGGGAGTATTTACATCATGAATTCTACAAACATTACAAGTCAGATTTTTTTGTTTTTCGTGTTACTGGAGAGTTGGTTTACCAGCACATCACTGGCCTTACTGTTCACTGTAAGGACTCTGATTTCACTTTGGGACAGGGAGAAACTACTAGAAGGTTTAGAGTAGAATAATGACATCAAATGATTTTAAATGCCTGTCCTGATTTCTGTGTTGAGAACAAAATGTCCTAATAAACAGTTGAAACTGGAGAACCCCAATTCCTTATGTCTTCCTGCCTTGAACATGACACCTGGGGCAGTAAAAGTCATCACATACCCTAAGGAAAAGACCAAGAAAACCATAAGAGATGCCAGTTTTCATGATTTTTAGCTTCTGAATCAAGCAAGGCCAGAGCTACCTACTTCCATGTTTCTTGTGATGTCACTAAACTCTCTGATGGTCAAGTCTTCTACTGTTTGCAATTAAAAACCTTCATAACTAATATACTTCGTGGATTAAAAGATCCCCCTTCTACTCTTCCACCTACAACTTCCCAGCCACTGCTACTTGTGTACCCTGTAACAACATTTTACCTTTACAAAGAGTTGCCCAACAGAAGAAATGGAAGCTCTTAGATACCTACCTCTTCCCTATTGGGTGCATCAGGAGGGGCAGTAGCCGCCACTGCCAATAGCTTGATAGGAGTTGTGGTATCACTGAAAACATCTGACACCTCCTGAGTCATAGCCTCCTGCATCCTGGCTTTCAGATCCTTAAAAAATAAAAATTTATTTTATTTTTTATTGTTTAAAAATGAAAATTTCCAGCAACATCCCCAAAGCATATATGTTAATGTCCTTATTTCACTAAAATATTCATTCTCTGAGTTTAATTCAGTAAATATTTATTAATATCTGTGTACAAAACACTGAGCTAGCACAGGTCAAAATTATGAATCCTATCCTCTAAGAGATTAATTTTAGTGAAACAGATAGGACCCCCTAAGGAATTTTACTTTTTTTATTGGTGGGAGAGGAGGACTTACTGAGGATTAAAATTAAGGGGTGCTTTAACTGAGCTCCATCCTCAGTTCTTTTTTAATTTTTTTTTTATGTATTTAGTTGTAGATGGACATAACACCCTTCCTTATTTATTTATTTATTTACTTACTTACTTACTTATTTAATGTGGTGCTGAGGATGAAACCCAGTGCCTCACACACACCAGGCAAGCGCTCTAAAACTGAACCACAACCCTAGCCCAGTTCTTTTTAATTTTGAGACAGGGTCTCACTAAATTGCTGAGGCTAGTCCCAAACTTGCCGTTCTCTGCCTCAGTCTCCTATAGCTGGGGTTATAGGCATGTGCCACTGCACCTAGCACTTTTGCTTCTTTTCTTGGTGGTCTTCATGAAATGACACTGAAAATCATGGGGTTGAGCCCAAAAAGGTCTTGAGTTCTTGAAGACAGAATTCCTCACTGCTCCCACTGCTGGAGAGGCCTGATGATGACTATGGTAACTATCTGGTAGATGCAATGTTAAATTTCTAAGCAATTTATTATTTTAGGAAGTACTAAACCAAGAATGGGAAATTAAGAAATCTCAAAAACAAAGTATATATGTACAGATTTCTTAACATGAGTCTAAAAAAGAGCATTCTTAGAAGTCACATGCTCTTTTTCATAGTTATTTCACTTAGACCAAGTTAAGTTTTCTCAATTTATACAAAGAAATTCCCATCACCCCATTTTTCAAGGTAGGTGACAAATACTGACTGGTGATACTGGACATGATTTTAGGTGTTATGTAGACAAATTATTTTAATAATTATGTATTTCTTTTTAAAATAGTAGGGGAAAAATACAACCAGCTCATCAAGCATAAGATTTCAGAATTATTACAAGGTTTTTTTTAATTTAAGTTTTAAAAAGAAGTCCATTTTAAGAAAAATGTTAAATAAATAAAAGTACAAGTGAAACATGAACAGAGCAAAATTCATAAAAGAGTTCATTGAGTGAAATTTAGAAAACAACTTAAGTCATTACCACACACTGGTGAGCTTTTTCCTAATAATTAGCTCTAGATTTCCTTATATCTTTGGTCATACTCTTTATTTTCCTAAACTCCAGAAATTTTGTATTTTTAATTATTTTCTCTCCCATCCATCATTTTTTAGTAATGATAAGCATAAAACCACTAATGACATGTGATCCCAAATTCTACCTTTAAGGAGTCTTGGAGCTGTGATGCAAGTGCTCTGGCCTGAGGACTTTCCCCTTCCCCTCTGGCAGCCAGGTCAGCCAGCTGAGCTGTCAACTGGTCCACACGGTCACACTTGGCAAGAAGATCTTGACGATAAGGCCCCATCATGACATTAGCCAGACGATGTCCTTCAGCCACAAGCCCCCGGATAGCAGCCTGACCTGGACCAAGAAGAAAACACTAAAACTCACATAGACCTAGAAAAGGTAACCACAATGGCATTCCAGTTGTTTGTTTTTTAAATAATATTTTGTAGAGTGATCATTTTCAGACAAAAGAAAACATTTTGGAAATACAAAAAAGCATAAGTAAGAACAGATTAATTATGCTTTCTTCCAAAGAGGGGGGTTTGCAGAGGATTGAAGCCAGGCCTTCATATATGCTAAGTACAGGCTGTATGCCACTAAACCACATCACCAGCCCCTATATGTTAACTTTTATTCTTTTTTTTTTCTTTCTTTCCTTTTGTGGTCTTCAAGATCCAACTTGGGGCTTTATACATGCTACATAAGGGCTTTGTCACTGAGCTACACCCCAAGCCCAACTTTTATTCCCTGATTCTTTTCTTTAACCCAAGTGTTTTCCCACTTAACTAAATATCTTTTAAAAACATGATCTAGTAGTAGCAGATGTAGTTCACTGGTAGAGCCTTGCCTAGCATGTGCAAGGCCCTGGGTCTGAATCCCAGCACTGCAAACAGTAACAAACATAATCTAAAAATCTATGTAGCGTTTTATCATATTGACATACTTAGTATTAAACATTCAAACTATTAACAAATATTCTTATTTTGACTCCTTAGAAAAAAATTACTTCTTAGGAAAAATTCCTACAAATTGAATTGCTGAGTCAATAAATATGAACTTTTTAAAAGTTTTTGACATAACACCAAACCTAGAAAGTCTATACTAATTTATTCCTATATCTGTAAGATATGTGTCTGCCCAATTCCTTAGCCCCTTATTGACACTAGACATCACCAATTTAAAAATTTATCTGTTGATTCAACAAATATGGCAAATGGAGTAAATAGATCTTTCAGCTTTAGCAGACTTGCTATCACAAAATAAATTTTTACAAAACCATTCTTAAAATATCCCCAAAGTCAAAATTTTAAGTTAAAAATTTTTCAGGTTGATTGTGTGATGAAAGAGACTTCAAACTAAAATAATGTTAAGTGCCTTTCACTATTTTCAAAAATTATATTTATCTGGATACTTGGCAAGGACTGTGAACACAGAAATACTATAAAATAGAAGTATACATAGAACTGATATTAATTCAAAGTTTCACTTTTGATATGAATATCTCTCCTGTGTGTGTGTGTGCACATGTGCGTGCATGTGCACATGTGCACAAATGCATGTGTCCATTTGGGGGAAAAGAAGGGGAGTTATATTGGGGATTGGGGGCCTCTTATATGTTACACTATATAACACTCTACCACTGAGCACTTTTTTGTTTTGTTTTGTTTGGGTTTTGAGACAGGGTCTCACTAAGTTACTGAGGCTGGCCTTGAATTTGTAATCTTCCTACCTCAGCCTCCCAAGTTGCTGGGATTACAGGTGGGCACCACCATTCCTTGCTGCCATGAGTATTCTTCTATTTGCATATATTAAAATCATTCTTTCTTTAATGCTTCTTTGCTAAATCATAGGGATTATATTGGCTATATTTGAAAATGGAATCACACTGAAAAATGCCTGACTCACCAATGACTGAAAAACCCTTTCAGCACCTTATTACAAATGTTACAAGACCCCTATCAACAACCTGCTTATTTGTGCTAAGATCCTTACCGACTCCCCGGTCATCCACTGTAGGATTATCAATCCATCGCTGTGCTTGCTCAATTTTGCCCTCAAGGTGGACAGCTGCTTTGGCAGGTCTGCTGTTTGCCACAGCCCTGTTGGTTTTGGTCTGCAGGTTCTGAAGGGCCGTGGCCACCTGTTTGGCCAATGCTCGAGCCTCTGGGGAATCTCCTTTCCCCCTACAGAGAAAAGAACAGCCATTCTGTTAAAACAGACTGTTTACATTGAGATGACTTCGTTGCTAATGAAAATGGTAATGAGATGACAAATTGCTAATGATTATTATTAACTTTGGTTGAAAATAGTGGCTTATTTGAATCTTAAATAAGAAATTATTAATTTAAATTCAAAATTTTTGTCCTGGTTAAGGCATTAATTGTGAGTTTGAGTCAATTTAACCCAACCAAGTTCAATCATTTGGTTACCTGAGCTCAATCAAAAACCAGTAGGTTTCCTGCATACTCAGTCTGCCAGTCCTGAAAACACTAGTTACTCGTGGAACTAGAAGTGCTTAGATAGCCATATTTGCTGATGTTGTAGTAGTAGCAGTAGTAATAGTAGTTGAAGTAGTTATAGTAGAACCAGAAATACTATCTTTTGAGTCCTAATCCTGCAAGGTTACTGTTGCAATCACATTTCTTTTATTATCTTATCCTCGCCACAACTCTATAAGATAAACACCAATATTATTTTTTTTAAAAAAGAGACACAAAGTTAAAAAAACTTGTCCTACTTACTTTGATGGAGTCAGTCAGGGTTCAAACATGGCTCTCTGACTTTAGAGTGCTCACTATTAAAAGTATTATCTGTATTACCTTATGTCATTACTAATAATACCCAATGATTGAACTGAGTGGTTATTTAACTCAAAGACAACTAACCATGGTCAGTAAACCATTGACTCAATTGGTTCTCAAAGCATAGTATAAATAAAAGTCATCTGGAAGGCTGGGAATATTAGCTCATTGGTAGAGTGCTTACCTTGTGTGCACTAAGGCCCTGGGTTCAATCCCCAGCACCCCCAAAAAAAGAGTCATCTGGGATCTAACTTTAAATACAGATAATGACCACCATCAAAAGAGATTCTGATTAAGTATGTCTGGTGATGGAGTCCACATTTTTAAACAACCTCAGATAATCCTTGGTCCATGCTGCAAAAACATCACATGGCCAACCTGTAGTAGGATCTGGAGCTAAAAATTTATTTTAAGTCTGGGCCATGGTAGGTCAAAGCCAGAAAAAGAACCTCCAAATAAATAAAGACAGCACCCAGAGTTTAGCAGACTTAGAAGACACGATAGAGCTTCCAGGATACTAAGAGGTAGAGGGAGGCACTTTTAGTTATCCAAAAAAATCTAATAAGGTATAGCCACAGTTCAAGCTGTTAGATTCTATTAGATACCTTTATATATTTTCAATAATCATCCACTTTTTTACTTGAGCTAGTTTCTTGCAACCAAGGAACCTCAACAGAGTATCAACACAAAAATTAAAAGACAACCACAAAATTATGTCACAATGAGCAATAACTACCTATTAAAACCTATTCCAAAGATTTCAGATTCTTACCAAGAAAATATAAAAGACCCAGAATAGCAAAAACAATTCTAAGCAGGAAGTGTGAATCAGGCGGTATAGCGATACCAGACTTCAAACTATACTACAGAACAATAGTAACAAAAACAGCATGGTACTGGTACCAAAACAGGTGGGT